ATGCCGATCTCTTCACAGAAGACCTCCTATCCTTTACCGGGAGGCTGTTAAGGAAGTTAACCTCGGCTACCAAACTGTGGCCAGTCGTAAAGACCAGCCTAACAGGTCCTCATGAAGACCATTGACTTTTCCAAATGGGGGCTACATGCTTAGGGTTCAGGGAGGGTTTAGGGGTTTAAGGTTTGGGGGGCGGGGCGGGGGGCTCAGTGGGTTTCCATGTCAGTTTGGGGGAGGGCAAGAACCCTGAGCCCTAGAAAAAAACGTCGTACAAGGGGCTGTAGTCTACACTCCGCAAAGGATGGCTACATAGTGGGGTGGGTGTATTTTCTTATAGGAGACAACTATAGGGATTATTAAGGTCAGACTATAGCTCATGCAAACTCTCAACCCTGACGTCCTATAGTCGACTTCTGTTTCCGTTGTTGTTGGCGGCAGGGCGACAGAGGTGGCATAGCGCACCACACGCTCCTAGCAGGATTTGGGAGCATTTCCTGCGTCATACCCTAAGGGTCCAAGGACCGAAAGAATCGGGTTTTAGGGCCCAAATACTTTTACATTAATGGTATTTTGGTCGTAAAACCCTATTATTTGGGCGTTTGGACCCTGAGGGATAGGACTCTGAAGGTGTAGTGTCAGGACTGCTAACTGAAACCAAAGCATGGGAGGCACCCAACAAGGCAAGGCAGGCGAAATAAAGGCGAACTTTAACAAGGGCACTCTTAAGTGGGTTAGGGTTTAGGGTTTAGGGTCTCAGGATGGTATTCTTTTGGGAGCATTGAGGACTATGAGGGCTTATCATAAGTTTCGTGCATGGGACAACGACCACAACGGCCCTGCCGCTAGGTCTCAGAGCAATGCAGCTGACAAAGCCATGTTGCAGCGCAAAAGTAGCTCTAACAGGTGAGCTACAGTCGAGACTCCTACATGACCTTAATATATTATAGTACCATTGTTCCCAAGGTATAAGGTACTTAGGGCCATGCAGGATTTTTAGTATCCACCGTAGCATCCCCCCTTAAACCCTTATGATACTCCCCTATAGTACTCCCCTATGTAACCCCCTATAAGCAGTTTAGACTAGAAATCATGTGAGATTGCGAAAGTTCGTGCAGCCCTTCAAGGGCGCCAGTCAATCTGAATTTCATCTCACGGCTCTGCCAACACGTTACTTACCGCTTGCTAAGTGGGAATGGAGGAGTGGATCACCTTAGTAGCTCTACTCTACCTGAACCCCAAAATTATGCAGAATAATGGCCCTTTGGGCTATCATTTTACTTACTTTGGGGTTTTAGGTATATGCAATCCCCAAAGAATACACGAATTTACATCTTCTTTCCCAATCCTAAATAGTAGCTCTGCTTCCCTTTCCAGTCATCCATACTAACAGCTAATAGGAGACCTCGCCTCAGGCTTTCACACCAAGCCTGATGCAAATATTGTGCACAGAATGGTTTGGACTTTAGGGTTTTAAATGCTATCCCTGCAACCCACCCTTGTTGAAACCCATAGCCTCCCTAAACCCTCCCGTGCAACACCTTTCTGGAGCCTTGACAGATCCCAACCTAAAAACCATACCAAACCCAAAAGAAGGAACTACGCTCGAGGGCCTAGATCTTACACCCAAGGTGAGCATCATCATGGGGCTATGGGCCTAAGGCCTTATCAGGGAATATTGGGGACTATTGGGCCTTGCTAGTTTGGGGGCCCGAATCCCTACACCCTGAATCCAAAACCCTAAACCCTAAATCCTTAACCCTGCATGAGCCCTAAATCCTAAACCCTAAAGCCTCAACCTATCACAGTAGCTGTCAAACAGTATGGGAAATCCAGCTCCTCAGCCTTGCTTCGGCGCGGCGTACCGCCTCAGAATACTACTTAGCCGTTAACAGGGAATGGTTTAGGTTTTAGGGTGTAGGGTTTAGCGGTTAGGGTTTAGGGTTGAAGGTTTAAAGGCGCGGGTTTCAGGCTGATGGTGGTTTAGGGCAGGGTTTAGGGTCGAGGGTTTAGGACTGCTACAGCGGATGGGATCCATTTAGCTGCTGGTTTGCTGTTCAGGCCTCGTAAGACCTCGGATTCTGGGCTTTTAGCTTTATGGGCGAAAGGTCAAGGTTCTTTGGCGTTGGGAGACGAGGTTTCGGGTGTGTGACTCATGCAATGCTACAGGTATCGATTTTTCCAGATTTGCGGCTTTCTACTTGCACCACTGGCTTATGAAGCACGTTTGTGATGAAGCAGATCTGTTTGTTGGCCACCAGCCCTGAAGCCTAAAGCCATAAAACCCCACCTGTACATAATGTCGCGAACCTTTCCTCAGGTTCCTGAGGACCACACAACCTTGTCCTAGGCGGGTATAAATCAAGAAGCACCCTATAGTTTCTACTTTTCAGGTGGTTATAAATAGCCTGGTATTTTGCTTCCTAGACCTTGCCGAATCACCGCATAGAAAAGCTGTACCCGCAGCTCCAATCAGCGCAAGGACGGCAACGCCTGCCAAAAGCCCCGCCGAAGGGCTCTTGCGTGGGAGTGTAATTGCATCTAAGTTATGGAGATGTTCAAAAAAAGTCGCGGCCCCTTGTGGGAGTCCCAAGAATAATAAGGATTATTGCATGTTGAATCTGCATTTGGGCCCCTACTTATGGAAACAGCGAGCTGAGCATCAAAGAAATACACTGAAACAGTGCTCAGATCCATAAGCTTAAGCATGATCATGACTGGCGGATAGCTCTAACAGTACCCACGGCTGCTGTAGCTGCTGCAATCATCAATGTCTGACCCCAAGCATGTAGACTAATGGCCTTTTGGGGGCTTAGGGCTTTGGGTTCAAGATTTAGGGTTTAGGGTTTAAAGGATTGAGGGTTAAGATTGGAGGTTTTGGTTTTAGGGTTTGCAGATCTAGGGCCTCGTAGAGAATTGCGCTGGGCAGCTGAGCTGCGATCCGATGACCTCAGGCAAAAGGGGCTTGGTATCCAAGGAGTTGCAAGTAGAGAGTCCTAACGATTACTTCTGGCATTTAGGCTGCTCAGCTTCGGGTCAAGGTTTTCACATTTAGTGTTCAGGGTTTGGGAGTCATGGGTTTGGGTTGAAGATGGAGGGTTAGCTTCTGCACAGGAAGGATTTATTTCGTTATCTCACTGCATATCTCGAGCCACTAGATATGAGTAACTCGAGTGAAAGTGAGAATATTCAGGATCATGAGCGGTGTCGCAGCACGGAAGTAAAAGAAATGGATTGCTTATCAAAAATGAGGCCAGGAAGCATAAGAACTATGCAAGCAATGCAAGAAAAGGTAGTTTACCTGATGCGGAAGGACATGAGCTATAGTCTAAACTCCTAGTATCCCCCTTAATAACCCTTATGGTAATCCCCTATATAATCCCCTATATAACCCCCCTTTAAGAAGTTTAGACTATGGCACACATGGTAGCCAGGCAGGGTCCCTATGATAGCGACGCACGGCCAAAAGGGTTGTTGGACATGCAGACAAGCAGCGTCATGGTCCGGAGCAGAGGCCAATGGGCCAAGCAAAAGAACGCTGCGACAGTGTGGCAGGTGCTACTATGTATGGATGTTGGAATGACGCTTGCGAAGTTTCAACTGGGCTACTATCATGCCCGTGCCCTGCCTGACTAACTCAGCCTCGTTTGGTGCAGTCGTCAGTCCCATGCTCCAAGTTCGCAGTGTTGCACATTCACTTGTAAAGTTAGAGTCCTGCATGCTTGCTTCTGCATTGATGGGAAAAATATCAATGGGAAAGCTTGCGATCAGCAATTTGAGGTACAAACAAACATAACATGCCGCAAGGTCGACAGGCAGGAGGGTTCCAATGGTCAGGAGCCCCTTTTCGTCGGAGGTTCTATTGTAATGTATACCCTGCCAGGACAACATGCACCTTTCAAAGGCATTGTCATTTTAAAAAAGGGCGCGGCATGGGGTTCCATCTTAGGGGCATGGAAAAAAGGGCGCGGCATGGGGTTCCATCTTAGGGGCATGATACAGACCGCACAGAGTGGGCTAGGGCCCTGTCGGAAAGCTTCACGCTCTCTAGAAGCAGCCTCCTGGAATGGGTTTCTTCTCCTTTGCCGCTTCGACCATATGTAAGTCTTCTATATTAGATGCATCAGCTGCTCTCATGTAATAGGCTGCTGTTCTTTAGACCCTACATCGTCGTCTGGTCTCTACAACGCAGGAACCGGCACCTGTGCTTCTCCAGGACATGGGGAGTTTTGGGTAGGAACGTTGCAGCTGAGATCCTCTGAGCGCCGCGAGTTGTTCTAAAGGATTGGCCCCTGTTTTGGGATCCCCGCTTACCCTAAGGGTCCAAGTACCCAATAATCCGGTACTTGGGATTTGGGTAATAGTAGGCGTAGTACAGGTTACAGGCAAGTCTATGATTGTTGGGTAGTTGAACCCTTAGGGTTTAGGGATTGGAGGGCTGGATTCCAGGATTTTCATTGTCAATCAGAGGTGACCAATGCAGGATCCCGTTCCCTTCGTCCGGATAATGCACAATGTAACTGTACTACCTTATATTCGGGTTGTAGGGGGTATGGGGGTCACATAGAGGGGCATTTACCCTACGAAGTCTGGGCGCCTTTTTCCTTTTGGCATGCGTGCGGCAGGGACGGCATCATGTGTCACTCCGCCACCAGGTGTGCTCAACATCGTCTGGGATGTGCATGTACCTTTGCTGCTGCCACCCACACATGCCCAGAAAAGCCGCCAAGTGCAGGTATAGAGATTCGCCACCTACAATTGCCACAAGTACTCAAGATCAAGAGTACACGTCAAGTATACAAGTCTGATTTCTCGTGATATTCACTGAAAACCGATTGGCTCCTACGCCTTGGCTTTTGTAGCTTTGGATTGCAAGCTGTGGTACTGGCCCCAGACCGACATGATACTCAGCATAGGCTCAGTCAAGTTCTTCATAGAGATATTTTACATAGACTCAGATCCCCAGAAATCCGCAACAAGCAGGCCTTTCAGGGCAGCCAGAATGCGGGATGTCCTCAAAGACAGCGCGCGGAGCCGTTGCGACAATCTCCAGAGGCTCCCAGGACCTCATGTGAGCTCAGGAGGGAGAGGGTGTAGGGAGGATGTGCGCATGACCGCCTCCTCCAGTAAACCCCAGCCCCGATAATGAAAATTCCGAATAGAATCCAATTTAATAGTGGTTATAGTACAGGGAACAATTCACTAATGTGTTTTTAGGGGTGGGGAGGTTCATTACCAGGGAGAGGGATTACAATCTAAGAAAAATCTCAGGTAAGGGGTTGAACGCATTACAGTGGGCTTTGGGGCGAGTGCAAGTTATGGAAAGGCAGGCCTTCAGGATGCATCGGAACTCGGCCTTCCGAAATCTTAGCCTGAACCCTGAACCCCTAACCCATCTGGGAGATTCCTAGAATTAGGGGTACCTTTTTGGGGGGGAAATAATCGTATTCCGCTACAGTCAACATTGCCTACAAGAATTAATGGACATGGTGCCCTTATTAAGGGCTATACTAAACTACAAGAGGGACCCCTATGGACGCCATTTAGGGTTTGTGGCTTGGAGTTCTAGGGCTTATTTATCTTTAGGTGTTAAGGGTTCAGGGAGCATATCAACCCTAACCCTTGCAGAGACCTGACAGCCTGCGCCATGGAATGCCCATGCCAAGGAACTCTGCCACCCGCGCAAAAGCTTCCTGCCAGAGTTTAGGGTGTAGGTTCTGGTTTCCCAATTTCAGGAGTACCATATAATGGACAATCAAAGGCAAAAGCGGGTGGGGGCTGGGGGTGTCAAGTGGTGGGTTTCCTTTTGATGGCATGCAATAGTAAGTTGACAGTAGTGCTTTTTGGTCTGTCTGGACAATCTGCTTATATGATTTCCCAGAACCCCTTAAAGGATCCAACAAATGGAACCTTCCAATACTCCCGTACTTTCCCCAAGGTAGTAGTGGGGGTCACTTGGGGGGTGCTACTTTTTAGATCCTGTAGGGGGTCTGGGTTAAGGTTCGAAGGAATGAGGGCTCAGGATTCGTCAGTTGCAGCAAGGTTCGGGGTATAGACTTCCAGCCCAACGAGTCCGAGTCCAACACCCCTAGAACCTGAACCCTTCACGCTTCAGTCACCTCAGCTCTAAGCCCCAAACCCTGTACCACATGAAGTGTTGTGTAGAGTTCTGCCCTCGCGGAACATACCATAAGACTCATAAGATTTGCAAGCGGTCAAGAGGAGATGGAAACTACCATAATATTGCGGGCTTTATGGGTATTACCATAGGGAGCCCTTCATCCATTCCATACGAAGCACCGGTAAAACGAGCCTCCTCGCCAAATCTTTGCAGTGCTGAAAGAATATGCTGCTACGCTGCGAACTAGGCTGAGTTGCTGTTAAGGAACTTAAATTAAGTTACTATATTGGGGAAACCCTAATATTTACCATATATACCCAATATGGTAACTTAATCTAAGCTCCTTAACAGCAACCCAGACTAGATTCTTCAACCTTGGTCTACATGGGAGTTCAAAACGTGGTTAGCCTGAGGTAACCCCCACTATATTATAGTGGCTTCCATTTCATTTTCCGTGTTTTCCATTTGATTCTCCGTTATACCCCGCAATATATCCCTATGTGGTACTTTCCCAAAATAGGGGAACCCCAATATAGACCCCAAAATACTAAAGTCATTAGTATGGGGACCCCCAAAAGGGTACCCCTAATTTTAGGAAACCCCTATATAACCCAATTCTGCAGCTTGACCTTGAGAAGCTCCTCAGGCTAGTAGCTGCGCTTTCAGTAGTTCGATTCTAGAATTTGCACCTGCAAACACCCACAACAAAATCCATAGAAATTGCACACCCATCACAAATTCACCACAACTGAGACGAAATCTCTTCAGAATCAAGTAGGCTGAAATTTCTACAGAAACAAATCGAATCAAGCAGGCTGGACTGGTCCTGGCCGGAGCTCTTCTATAAAAGCTCTCAGGATTCAGCAGCCGTACCCCAAACCCACACCTCTTTCGGCTCACACCCATCATCGGCACGCGTAGTGGGGGATACATGGAATATGGCGATAATCAAGGATGTCTCTCAAGGGCCAAGGGCCATCTTTTGACAAACCTTAAACACTTAACGCTGCAACCAAAAATCCTAGACTCCAAACCCTGAACTCTGAAATCCAAAGATGTAAATCCTACCTACGGCTCCAATCCTAAGGCAAGGAAGGCCGCTGTACCTGTGCAGCAGCACGGTCCGCAGGCTCTGCGGTCCATCGCAGCACTGTGGAGTGGACGATGTCCTCAGCCGCGATTTGGGTACCCAGACCCTCCTATGTAGTTCCTTTTTGGGTAGTATATTATAATCCCTTACCAAAAAACCATAACAGACCCAAAAAGGAACTACATAGGAGCCCTTGGGTATGCAGCTGAGGGAATTCGGCTTTAAAGTTGAGAGGGTGTATGTCGGGTTTAGGTTTGGTGTAGAGCTTAGCATATAACATAAAATTTAGGGTTGAGGTTCCAGGGACTTCGTACCAAGTCCAAGGTGTTTCTTGCCTTTCGAGTGGTAGGGCTTTTTGGTTTTCAGTTTTGCGCTGTTCTGATGGCCCCAAGTACTATGGTAATTCTGCCAACCCTTTCTACATACCCTGTCAGTCCTTACAAGCATCACTCGTATATCTTGTTCCATGAGAGTAGCGCGGCCCCTTTGGTAACCCTAGACCCCCAGCCCTAAATCCCTGGCTGCCCAACGCCACCTGTACAACCTCCTCAAAATCCTTACGTGTTTCCAATGCGGGGACGCACAAACAGGGGGTACAAGATCAAAACCCTATTGCATACAGACTCCCGCACACCAAAAAGAGCGCCATTGCCGGAACCCTTCTGTACTCCCCATGATCAGGGCCAGAATCTGGGATGTGTGGCGCCGGCTCCCCTGCAGGAGGCAAGTCTCACAGTGTCTACGCTCGTGGTGCTGGACATAGGTTTTTGGGGAAGTTTGGGAAGTAGGCGTGACTCAGTTATCAGTTTACGTTGTGGAAAGCTTGGGTTGCATAGTCGCATGAAAGATCGCTGAGGGCATCATGGCTTGAAGGGGTGGCGTCTGAGAGAGACCTCAAGATGTCGAGGAAACACCTCAAGCGACGGGAACACGTTGAAAGCTTCCGTGCTAAGAACTAATTCCCCAGATCTCGTCCTATTTGGGTAAGTCTGTCAGCTTGCCAACATGCTGAAGAGGCACGGACATCCCTTATTCTACTTTAAGCCGCCCAAAACAACATAAGGCAAAAGCTCCGTAACAGCACAAGGCACACAGGTAGTCTTGATAGATGCACCAATACCCACAGCTGTGAGCATCTTGCAGGCGGGTAGTTACAGGAGCATAACACTCGCAAAAGCTCTATAACTTGTAGGGCTGCATTAGAAGCGGACACTCCACAGGGGAGGAGATCCACCTGCAACGTACTTTGCGTGACAGTCAACACAATCGGAACAAGAAAGCCAGCAACCAAAAAAAGGCTCTGAAACCCTCAGCCCTAAACCCTGTTCATACACCCTACCTCCCGCTAAAACTGTTAAAAATGAAAGTTTCCATACATAAGGATACCCCAATATAGGCCCATAAATGCTACAACCCGTATTGTGGACCTTCGAAAGGGTACCCCTAATTACGGAAGACCCTCAAAATCGAAACACAGATGCCTTCTGGAGTCCCAGAGGGGGGCTTTGCCCTGGATCTGTCTCCTCCGCCTCATCCAAGTAAAGCTTGGATTTACCCAAGGGCTCCTACGTAGTTCCTTTAAAGGGATTACAGCATACTGCCTAAAAAGGAATTACATGGGAGGCTGCGGCTAAGCGGCATCTAAGGGTTATGTGTGTGTTCAGCTAAAAGGCTTGGCTTGAATTGGGGATTTGTAGGGTCTATATAGGCCTCGAATAGGGATTCGATTCCATGGGGTTCAGTGCCATGACTTTGATCTGAGGTCCAGGTCATCTGTTGAAGAGATTTGCTCCTCCCTGGTGCTCAGCAGGGAAAGGGGAATGGATTATAAGGACATGGGGAATACATTAGAGACCTCCGCAAAGAACCCCCAAAACCCTAAACCCGTTTCCCCAAACCCTATAAACGCTATAAACCTTCCAAAGCCCATCAAGCCAATATGTAAGCCCTATATAGGCCCTATAAATCCTATAGAACCTTACAAACCCTATGAACCCTTACAAACCCTTCGAAGCTCTGTGGAACCTAAACCGCAGCATCCGCCTTCTGCAGGCTCGCCCCCAGCAGCGAGGATGGCGCCGCGCAGGGCTTTGCGCATGGCTGCCACAGCCCCGGCCTGGGCTGAAGATGGATAATGCCATGGGAGGTATGATTTATAGGGTTTAGGGTTTAAGCTGCAAGTTGTTGTAGCGTTTAAGATTTAGGGTTTAGGCTGTAGGATTGAGTTTATAAGGTTTAGGGTTTGAGGCTTTGGTTTTAGGATTTAGGGCTTATGGACAATGGCGGCGCAAAACCCATAAATATAGTCAACAAAAACACGAATCTACACACTTTGGGCGGTGCACGTAGTGTGCATGTGTATATGTACATACGAATATGCAGTGAATACTCGAATACACATGCAATGTGTCTAACGTGTATATGTACTGCGTGTGTATATATCAACGGGTAATCTATGCACCATTATTATAATATATATATGTACATTTGTACTTTCAAATAAGCCTCTACAAAAAGACACTAGCCATGTGGGAGTTTGCCTATCCCTGTCCCCTAAATGGAGGAAACTAAAAGAGTGGCCTATAACAAGCACGCTGGGAACATACGTAATCCAATCACCCGCAATCGAAGAGTGCAAGCAAACCCCTGAGCGGCCTCGGATCTCAGGTTTGCATTTTAGGCTCTGAAGCTTCAGGAGCTCAGTGCATAAAAGCCTTTAAGTCAAGGTCTCAAACTTGCGCAGTTTCTGTCCTCTCGCAGTCCTCTTTGACAAGCGCCCCCCCCCCCCTCAATGAATTCTGCGGAGGCGCCGTATCCTCATAGCGGAAGATGCCAGCTGAGCCCTCCAACGTTGGGCGACCCATCTTCAAGACGATTGGCCCTGCTTTAGGGCTCCAAGGGGGCTCCAAGGTATTCAATGTTGGGCAGTGTAACTTTAACTCAAAAGTGTGGTGTGTGGAGTTGCAGGACTAAGCCCAAAAAACCTGAACCCTAAACCCTTAAACCCCCAGGCCCTGAAACTAAAACCTAAGCCCTTAAAACCCCTAATGACGAAATTGTACAGCGCTTGCACGCCATTCAGGGCCCCAAGAATTGCTTGAGAAAGTCGACTGCCGCTTTTGAGTAGCCCGAATCCGCCTACCGACCCACCGGTTGAATGCTTCCCCAAAGCCTGGCAATCCCCACATACAGCTACTCCAGGTGATTCGTTCGTATATGTTGGCATGAAACTAAGCAAGGGCGCCTATGTAGTTCCTTTTTGGGTCTGTTATGGTTTTTTGGTAAGGGATTCTGATAATATACTACCCAAAAAGAGCTACATAGGAGGGTCTGGGTAAGCAGGTTGTAAGTTGTTCAAGGAAAACGTTTGCTGACTCCCTATCGGGGCCCCTAAGCCTCAACCTTCCGGCCCTTGAAATCTTACTGGTCTTTCAGCGGGAGTACTAGACCGAATGGAAACTGTATACTGTATACACACCCATAAACACCCCTTATCATAGGTCATGGTATGTTTCCTTCCCGTCAGCACCCTTAGCACTGCTGCGTGGGATCTCATTCTACCCAACTAGAATCGCGGACCTGTTGGCCACGCAGCGTCTTTCCGCGCAGCATCCAGGATTCCTGGGTAAGAGTCCACGGCAGCTCGAGAATCTAACGGAAGCCTTGTAGAAGCCTGAATATCCACCAACACGCTTCCCTCAACAGCCTTCTATATCTCCAGTATGAGGCACCCAGGCCCCAGATCACGCTTGAAATCTCTTTTGCCCTACACCCTAAACCCTAAGGCCTAAACAGAAAAGCGCGTTGAATGCAAAAAGCTTTACCAAGGAGTTCAGCTTCTGCTCCAGCTTTCGGCGGTGCTTTGCCGCAGCTCGGGCGACATGGGCCCTGGCATGCCCCCAAAGGAATGTCAAAAGATCCCATTACTATTACCCAGACTGTATCCCTAGATGACCCGGATAGATTTCCCTAAGCATCCCTTCTATATACCTGTACAACCCAAAATAACCGACAGACATGACTGGATGAAACCTAGGAGCCTTCCAGCACCTCGCATAATGTCAACGCCAGGCCCCAGGACCTTCAAACATGTGGCCTGCAAGATCGTGGGCCCTGAACATAAGGCTGTCTACCCCTAGGGCGCTAAGTCCATAAATAAACCCTACTTTGGACCCTAAAGTCTGTACATAGTAAATACATGGAGCCTTTGGGCTACTGCAGTGGTTGTTCTGTTAGGGTCAGCGCTACGTATATCCACTACCCTTGGTACGTTAGAGCCATGTAGCCATTATCACCCTCATCACGCTGATGACTCAAAACATCACCTGCGCCCAACAAATGTGTAAAGTAATAGCCTTTTGGGCTATTTGTAGGAGTTTTTTGGGGCTATCATGTTACCTACTATTGGGGTCCAGGCATGACTGTTCAGAGTATCATCCCTAGTACAAATTTGGGGCAGTGCGCGGGTGAGTGCATAAAATCCTGAACCCTAAATCCGCTAAACCCC